CCAAACCCGTAAATCCCAAATCCACAACCCCTACACAACTAAATCCCCTTCCCTAAACTCCTCGACAACTAGACCTCGAAATCCGTAGGCCCAAAATCCCTACACCCATCAGAAGTCTTGCCTATGCGACAATCCTTCATCCGCACTTGACGGATTCGACGTGACCCATGGCCTTACACATGGCAGCACAGGAAAACACGTGTAACTGCAACCGGCCACGGTGTGGTGCCGAATAAGCTATCGCTCATCACCCAAACTGGCATGCCTTCATTCCCTCCCCCATGGCTGAGCGGCCGGGCTTCAAGTCAACTTTCATCCAAGCTTGGAGCCAACCGCACGCATGTTTAACATTTTGGTTGGACTGGTTGGACTGGGATCGAAAGCACCCCAAGCATTTCAGGAATCCATACAAAAGGGGGGGGCGGGGGATTCTCAGGAGGCTTCAGGTTCAGGCCACAGCACGGACAAGGGCTCAATCATCAGCTCCCTCCGCCATCGTGCAGAACAAAGAAGTCTATGTAAAGCAAAGGCCTAGAGTGCTAGAGTGATGCATCCTCACAACACTTGCACATGCGCGGAACCCCGTAAGTAAGGCCAGAAGGCCCCCGACCCGAACCCCGCTCTCAAACTCTCGGACCTTTCAAAGCGTCACAAAACAACAACATTAAGGCGACAACAACGAGAACGCCTAAAACAAAAAAATTACGCCTCTCGAGGCACGGCTCACGGCTCTCTCCCCGAGAAAAGAGCGAAGGAGCACTCAGCTACGACCGCAGAGGAAGAGACTCCCTCGCCGTCCCCCCCGGCCCGCAGTGCCCGCAGCAGCAGCAGCGCAGCGCGCCTTTTTCAGGAGCTGCCCAGCTCTCGGAGTCTTCGGCAATCCAAGCTGCAGCCTGCAACGAAGGGAGCCTCTTTGCTGGAATCCTTTCAGAAACCCCCGTGCGGGAGGCGCGTGGGACCGTGCCAGGGCCGTGCTCTAGGGCCCTCGGCTAAGCGCCTCTCATGGCCATGCGGCGATGCCAAGAGCGGCCCTAGGCCTAGAGGCCTAGACCTTCAGAACTTCCCAGATGGATGCAGACTGCAACATGTGCTCGACTTCAGCTCCGGGACCCTGAGTTGTATGGAGCCGGCGCCGCCTGGCTGTGCTGCAGCAAGCTGCCATCCACATAAATGGACAGCACCGACATGACCTGGTCGGCGTCCCGAGCCCTGGTGCTCCTCCAAAAGGCAGAGACTAGGCGGCTGCGTCGCAGCACAGGCTGAGGGGCACGAAGTCGCGTGCTGCAATGCCACGGACATAAGGGACAGATTCGGCCCACAAGCATAGTTCCAAATACAAAGAGACAGACGGACGGAATGCCTTGCTGGCGACTTAACGTCAGAGTGTCGTGAGCTCTTGCCACAAATGCGGAACTAGATCGTCCCGTGGTTATGCGACGGGCAACACTCGCAGCTGAAGCCGCCCCCAGATGCTGATGCATGCTGTGTGCGCGCTCCCTGTGCGCTCTGTCATTGCTTGATCCGACTGCGGCTCCGGCCCAGTCATAGGGTCTCCGTTAGGCCAAAGAGTCCACGACCGTGGGCCGGGCCGGGCTTTTCTGCCATAAACTGCTGGGGCCGGGCTTTTCCGTCCGCGGCTGGGACTGGAGGACCGATGCTCGAGCTTGTGGCAGGGAAGGGGTGTTGCTGGCTGCGCACCTCAAGCCAGCAAGCCAGACAGGTGTTGTGACGAGGCGAGAGGCGGGAGGCGGGTGGTGGCGGCGGCGGCACGGGGACCCGCCGCGGAGCTCAGCGAAGAATCGGCAGCCGCGAGGCCGGGCACGGGCAGAGGCCTCTTGAAACGTCTCAGGCCCTTAACTTAGGCTTGCGGGGCTTGCGGGGCTTGCGGGCACGAAAGGGCGAAGCCTCGGCACGGCGCGAGCTCTAGGGTCAAAGACGGGACGGCCAGCTATTGGAGGCCGGCTGTGAGGCCTTCAGAGCCAGACTCTGTTGCTGTAGGCAGCCTGGACCCCAGGCCCTGGGATGGTAACCGACTAAGGCTGGTCTGCTCTCAGACTCAGTGACTCGTGACAAAGCTATTCCCTACGCTGGGCCACTGCTGCGGCGCGCTGGGCACAGCACTGCAAGCACCTCCTTTATGGGGGAGAGACCTGACGAGGGGCCACTGCGTGAAACTCCCAGCGGTGGCGTGGGGTACTGAGACTGCGTACGAGTAGCACTTAAGTGTAACAAGGCTGGCGAGCTCAAACTCTCAACACTTTACAGGAGCCTCAATAAGCGAGAGCGGCAGAAGGGAGGCTTCGAGTGAGTGCCTCCGGGAACTCAAGGCTTCCCAAAGAGCTTCTCACATTCTCAGCGTGCGCTTCCGAGAGGCTGTGAGTGTGAGCATCTCACTGGAGTTCTAAGCGCAAAGTCACGCGGATCTTGCTCGCAGGCGATTCGCGAACACGCATGCTGAGTGAAACCACGTGATGCTCCAATCGGCTAATAGGCTACAGCGGTGTCAGGGGGGTCATACGGAGTATCAAGAAGTGTTAGTAAAAGCTAGGTTGCCTGGGATGGCAGAAACTATGTGGCCACGTAACCCCAACCGGGCGCAAAAGATCTCATTTGCAGCTGGATCGAAGTGGCGATTAGAAAAACATGGCTAGGCGGAGTCGCAAGAAATCCAGAGTTCTCAAACATATCTTGCCCGAGTGCGAAATTGAAGCATGTTCGGGTGGCGGCTCTTGACACGAAAAGGGGATGCCGGCTGTGGCGTGTTGCCCTCGCTGATCTCAGGACACCTGGGGATCCGTGAGTTGCATGCAATGGCCCTCGAATGCAAAAGGGAATGTCCGTTCCAACACATCTCACAGCGTATCTGGGGCTAGGCTCTGTCGTAGGTGACGAAAATCTCTTCTTGGCTCCAGCTCTGGCGAAACAAGTGGCTGAGATGGGGAGCCCCGAGATGGTCAGATCAGATTAAGGAGCTGGGTTGTGGCTGCAGCGCATGCGCTGCACAGCTCAGCATTTTCTGAACTACTCTGTTTTGAAAGCTCCCAAATGTCTTCTAGCCGCATCGGTGTCGGCTATGCAAGGAGTGCTGGCCCGAGCCTCATTGTAGCCTGGCAGTACGGTTAAAACAGTGCATGCACTTTGCCTGACACTGAGACTCTGCTGGCCCTGCTGGCCCTGCTGGCCGCTTAGCATGCCAACAGCTGCCAACAGCCTGCACGGACGGGAGCAAACCATGGGAGGTACATGTCGCAGGCATGTATCGAGCATGTAAAAGGCAAGAGAGAACGGGTCTTCCTATATGCGGCACTCGGCTCCTATCCACTGTACATGCCTGCGGCAACCGCAATGGGCTTTCTTCGGGCCTACAAGTCTGAAATGTTGAAGCTGTTCGGCATTGCCTACACTCAGTTGAGAATCTCTTTGCGCGACATCGCTGCACTGCTCGCTGTCGAAGTGGTAGGGAGCAAATCAGCTGTGACAGCTGTAGCAGCGTGCAGTTCAACAGGCAAAATCGGGCAGTCCGGGCTGAGACGGTGGCACGAGAAACCCGAAAGCGCCGCAAGGCACTCAAGGCATTCAAGTCACTCACGTGAGCATCGGCGGTTCACCATTTATTGCTTATCTAGGTGGGTCTGTGCTTAAAAGCACTCGGAAAAAGATCGAAAACAAAATGCTCCTCTTAAACCCAAGAGGGGTAGGCAGGAGGGGTCAGGGTCTACCTTGCGATATACCTAGATTCCAGAGATGGACTCCAGCATGCGGCAAGGCTTTGCGAAGTGCGCCGAGGCCAGGTTCACTCTTGGCCGGTCTTTCGTTGTAGAAGTTCCGGGGAGGCATCGGCGACTAGGACTAGGGCCTAGGCCTAGGCCTAGGCTAAGCCTGAGACTGCGAAGAGGGCCCCGCGGCTGCAGGGTGCAGTGGTGCTAGCCTGAGCCGGTGAAGCACCGAAACCGAAGCAGAACAACGTCAACATCATCAGGACAGCCAGCTGCCCTCACCGCCCTCACTGCCCTGCCATGTGCCAGAGACTTCGTCAGAAACGTTTTTATGCTTAGCTGCACTGGCGCAGGACCTGGAAGGGCGGTAAGGGGTTAACCCGTGCTAAAAAAGCAGTCGGCTGCCGGCACAGGCTGGCCAGGCTCTCAGAGACGTGGGGTAAGACTGGCAAGCTGAGCGAGCTGAGCGAGCTGGCTAAACCAGAGGAGCTTTGGTACCAGGATGTCTGGCCACCTCTATCCCCAGGTGATGGGTCAAAATGAACGCCAGGAGGAGGGCACCTGCAGCTGACATGGAAGCCCCTTGATGCCCTTGCCGCCCTTGCCCCTTCCCTACTCGACGTGGCCTGCACTCCTCCCCAGGTCTTCCAGTGGCATCTTCAACCTTCGAACAGCATGAGTTCTGAAACGGACTTTGCCGGAATGGAGCAGAACAGTTCGAGAAGTGCTGTAGACTCTGCACCTGCGAAACAAGATATGCTGGCTAAGTCTGTGGCATGAAGTGCACCGTCTCATCGGTAGCATTGCATTCGGCATTGCATTCAGAGCGGGCGATTGTTTAACTCTGGTGTTCTTGAAGCTTCCGAGATGTCGGTCTGATGTGTTGATGTTGCGCTCTGACAGCTTAAGATGAAAGGCTGCAGTGGAACCATGCTGAAGATCCTATGAATCGCTTCAGCTCCGTTCTTTTTCCTCAGCAAATCTCGCTACTTCGGGGCGCAAGCGAGTGCAAGGCGGGTTGGGTAATCAATCCATGACAGAAATTAAACCTGCAAGGAACCCACAGACAAATGGTGAAGCCGGAAGTTAAACAACGAAAGTCCAAACTAAAGATTCAATCCCCAGAGCTCCATACTGCTTTCACGAGGAGATGGCCTTCATTGATGCAGTTTCTTTCCTGGTTTTAGCGTTGCTGCGCCCAGATTCTGAACGAGTGACCAGCCGAGCGCCGAACAGAGCAATACTTAAGAAAGCAATTCGCGACAGCAGCCGCACTCTTTTTTCTCAGTCGATTTGGTCACGCAGCAGGTCTTCGACCTCAGTTTAAGATTTCAAAGAACTGAGACTGTCACAAGAAGTTCATCATAAAGCAACTGCAAACGCCCCCCCCCCCCCCGCAAACGTGCGAAAGCTGCGATTGTGAGGACGAGAGCTCGGACGCTGAGAAACCGGTTCCGAAGAAACTGGGACTGGTTGTTCCAAGGCACGGCTCTCATGTTCAGATCGTTGAGCTCGTTAAGCTGGTTGAGATGCTCGGGCGGCCCGGGCGGCGCCAGCGAGGGTGGCTCGGGGCGCCAGGGTTTGGGGACCGGCCCGACCGGGTTGGGCCCCGGAGCGGCCGGGTTGCGGCGCGGGAATTCCCGGCCTTCAGGCCGGTCCAGGTCCAGGAGGTTGGCGGGCGCAGGCGCAGGCCCGGGCGCCGGCCCGACCGCCGGTCCGAGACTCGGCTCCTGGTGTGACGGCGACGTGCACATGCACACGTGCACGCTCCCTCTCTCTCTCTCTTGCTTGCTTCTTTGGGCCTCCACAAAGCCCATGAAGCGCAGAGTGGCAGCGAGCTGCTCCTGGCGTTCCTGCTCCTGACACTGACCGTGATGGCCCTTGGTGTGTCTGAACGCAGCCTGGGTGGCATTGCAGCTGCACCAAAAAACGGCCTGAAAACACCCTCTAAGGTCGCCCCTCCTCTTCTTCCTCGTCCTGGCAGAGGTGAAGTTGAAAAAGCCGAGAGAGTGGAGAAACTCCAACAAAACAAACAAGACGGCAGGACTAAGGGCGCACGCAAAGGCACCTCAAGGTCACTCCGGCCGGGCCCGGCGCCAGCGATTGTCTTTTTTCGTCGCCGAAACAGTCGTTGTTTAACAAGGGCCCCGACTGGAGATGCTGGAGCCTCAGAGTGCGGCTCTCAGTGCGAGGCATGGCGGCATGGCATGAACGGTGCGATGCAGACTTGCACCCTTGGGGTCGAGCGATTGAGCTGGACGCTCTCAGCTCTTCAAGCTCTTGCGCCTCCGCTTAAGCAAAGGCCCTTTAAGCACTAAAGCAACGGCTGTGAGGGCTCTTTGGCTTTGACGGGCTTCGCTCCAAGGAATGCTTCTGGGCGAGGGGCGTCTTGCTCCTCGAGCCATTCTTGTAGACGGTCTCGCTGCGGGCGATCTCGTGAGTTCTCGTCCCGGTCGTCCAGGTGTCGGAAGACCGGTAGGTCGTCGCGGCCGTTGCGGTCGTTGTCGTTGGCCTTCAGCGGCCAGCTTGTAATGGCACAGAGTGGCACTTCGACCTCTGCAGGTGCCGAGAACCCAGACGAGCTCAGGGGTCACCGAGGTCACCTGCATGGCGGCAGAAAAGTGCGCATGGCATCGGCAGAAGCTGATCGGAGGAGTCCAGGAGCGCCTTGAAAGGGGGGACTTTTGCATAACCTGGCGCATACACCTTGGTCCAAGCGCGCAAGCGGCAGAGGCGTCTAACAACCCCATCGAAGAAGGGGACTGACACAGGTGCGATACGAGGTTACAAAAGGAGAAGACTCTGCACAATCCCAAACCTGATGCAATCTACATGTGGAAAGGATAACAGTATAATGACAGTGCCTCCTTCCTGACTTGAGACTAGGCCTAGCTAGGCTTCCGTTGGGCCCCTGGCAGCTGGCTGCGGCTTCATCTCGAGGCGCAAGGCCGGGCCGACGGGCTCGTCGCTCGGATGCCGGTACAAGCACCTCAGGCCAGGCAGAGGCAGGAGCGGGTTTAGGGAGAGGCACAGAGAGGGCGCAGAGTCTTTTGCCCTCCCGCTCTCTCCCGCTCTAGAGCGGCCCCCGGCCCGTCGGTTCGGCAACCGCGGCCCCACTGGCAGTCGATCTTGCCATAGCGCTCTTTGATGCTCTGGCAGGAAGCCTGCCAGAGTTGTGTTCAAGTATCTTCCGGAAGCAAAAGAGAGAGTGAAGCGTCTCGCTGTGATGTGCGACATGCAGTATCACCCTGCTCCGCGGACCGGCGCGATCCGGCAGCTGTAGCGGATGCTCCCTTCTCGTGATTCCTTCCTTCAACGATGCCTTGAGCCACTTCTCTGCCACGACTTTTTGATCTTCAACCAGCCAACCGGCCGCTGCGCAGATTCCAGGGTCGGTAGTTGAGAGGGACCTTTGAGTATCAACAGCCACGAAGACGAAGACAGCAACTCAAGTGAGGACGATGACAAGCACGACAACGGCGAGACACATACACGAGCAATAAAACAACAACAGGCCAGCAACGCGACCGCGACGGACGACGATCACCATGGCTTTGGTGCCAAACTAGCACGGTGAAGGCAATCGGCCGTTGCCTTCTTATGAGTTTGGTGCCTCTACACTTGGTGAAGTGACACAGCCGTTGCTTTCACCGTGGCTTTGCTGCCAACAGCACATGGTGAAGGCAAGCGGCCGTCCTTCACCATGGTTTTTGCTGCCGCCGCGAAGGCAAAGCGTTGTTCTCACCATGGCATTGCTGCCAGAAAAACTCGATGAAGGCCAGAGGCCGTTGCTTTCAGAATGGTTTCGGTACCGAAACACACAGTGAAGACGCCCCTTTGGTGCCAGGAGAATGAAAGGATGGTTTTGCAGCGTCTCCGCGCCTCATCCGGGTGCTTGTCGTGGCACTGTCGTCCGAAGGCGCACTTCCCCGCCACGAAGGCAAAGCAGACCTTGCCGACAAAAGGCGCTTGCGACTGAGCACTTCCACTGCTTCCACGCTCTGCCGCTCTGCGTGGACGTGCAAAACGCGAGCACGGCGAGCATGCCGCGGCCCTTCAGCGGCTCTCGGCGAGACCCCCGGCCCCGCGCCTTGTCCGACTTCTCCATTGGGGCTTGTTGACGCACCTCTGACGCTTCTGCGTTGCGTGAAAGGCGCCTCCCTACATGCACTGAGGCGATGGCAGACTTTGCTGGTTTCGGCGGATGCTTGAAAACGCAGTCCCTGACAAGCAAACAGCTGACCGCCACGCCGCTACACGTGAAAGCGAGAAGAAAATCAGTGGGTTGACCCCTTTACCGCCCCCGCCTTCGAGTGCAAGCGGCCCCATAACGGCAGTCGGGGACCTCCAGGGCGCAGCTCCGTTTCTCGTCTCACCTTCTGCAGCTCCCGTTCTGCCTGGACTTTGGCTTTGCCCCGGCCCATGGCGACGCCTCAGCGCAAGGTAGCATCGCACGTCGGAGTCGGCTCTCTTCAGCGCTAAAGCGATATCTTGCGAGACTTCACGAGTCAGGGGCGTCTGCGATGCACGTTGCCAGCAGCACGTGCTCGCTCCAGGGAAACGGCTGCAAACCACGCATCCGGCTTTCAGACCCACGTGCAATGCAACTCTCAGTACCGCCATGCTGCATGCCGTTGCATGTGCTTCAAAACACCGGCAGCCTTTCTTTTCTGCAGAGGCAAACCTTCTCTGGGGCCTCTTCTAAGGCCTCTTAGGCCTCCGGCGGAGGAGATAGGACTTGGCTCAAGCGCCTACCCGAAGCTTCGTTCGAAGCCATAGGCACGCCCAACGTGTCAGGGCGGCGTGCAAGAGAAGCGGCCGCCGCAGTGGCCGTGGCCAGCGCCTTGAAGTTACGCTTCTCCTGCCGGGCATGTGCGGAACATATCCACACATACTTGTATACTCATGTTTATGTTTTTACAAGTTAGACATATATATATATATGTATATATGCTACCCCCCGCTGAACCCGCACGTTGAGTGTTTATACGTAACTATGTACCATTAATGTGTTATTCCAACCCAAACCCCCAGCCCCAAAACCCAAAAGCCAGAGACTCCAGACGTAGTGCAGCAGCATCACCCACCCCCTCCGGAATCCGGGCATCCAGTGTTTGTGGAAGCCAAGTCCTTCTATTGTGCATTACAGGAACAGACATAAAGCCTCCAAATATTGCCGCCAGTGTTCTTCTCGACAGCACGCATCGACCACGGAGTCCTGTCTTCTGCCCTGCTCTTTCGCAACATTGGAACAAGAACAAAGCCTAAGAGTTTTGCCACCAGCCTTGTTCTCTACAGCAAACGCCCGCCCACGATCACGATCACGAGTTCGCATTATCATGGGAGTACATATTGAAACAGAAATACCTAATGTTATGCACAAATAGTGAAATAATGCGGCTCCAAACCATCAGCCCTGAACTAAAATTCTAAAAAGTCCGGACGGCATTGAAGGCACATATGCAAAAGTTACCGGTATACTACCTGCGATTAATAATCAAACAATAATTGCGATCCATGTGTTTCTGCATCTGTTAGAATTAAAAAAGCAGCTGATTTGGGTTCAAACTTAAATGCCTACATATTGCTCATCGAGTACTCGTTTGAAGCTTGGAATTATGATTTACCAACGTAGATTGAAACAATAGTGATTATCGCTCGTTTTTTCGTTCCTTTGAAGTTAATATCGGAAAAGCATGTGTTGAATATGTCATAGTGTTCGCCTCACATTTAAATGGACTCATTATCCAACGAACATATTCACGAACGCCTAGTACTTAATTAATCAATTCATGAAAATCGTTTATTCTGAGGAAGGTCTGACGTCTATAGTAATGAAATGTTGAGTACGTTTATGCTGAGAATGGGAGTTAGACATAATTATATTGAAGTATTACAGACTTGAACAAAGACTTTGTGCGACACCAAAAGAGTAATTGACAACTTCTACAGAAGAAGCTTAACACATATTTTTGAAGTAGTACTAAAAGGTATCTGGTTCGAAGTTGGCTCTGATTACGATATGAAGCTTAGACTACGTATCGATTAAACAATTCGGGTATAAATATCCGGCATAATTGCGTGATGAAGATTGATCTGACAGGAGCTGAGACATGAATGGGCACGCATATTTGCAGAGCGCTGGAGAATGAACGGAGCTGGTGTCTACAAGGTTTGTCACGAGTCTTTCTAGGTACAGCTAAAGATTTGCCTTTCATGGCCCAAATACAGCCGGATACTGTGCATGTGATTCAATGTCAATTATGTTTATGTGCATTTTTACGGCGAACGTGTCTCGTCATGTCAAAACTAGCATATCTCTCGAGACAGTCCCCAAAAAACCGCAAATACCAAAGCGCATGAGGACAATCCCAAGAAAACTAAAAAAACAAAGATTCAGAGCTATTCCAAATGCCAGTTCACGAGACAGCTCCAATGCTTGGTTTGTTTGGTTTTTTTGGGACTGTCTGGATGAAAAGGCTCATTTCGTGGCCTATGAGTTTTGGTATTTTTGGTTTTTTGGGGACTGTCTGGAGAAGAGCTCCATGTAAACAGCCTCGCAGGTCAGGCCCCTGCGCAAGGATGACACGTAACTTGCCCCTGCCCTCGGGATTAATTTTGGCTCAAGAAAAACGAACCGAGAGCTTGGGGTTGGAGATGTGCATCTATCAGCTCAAACTGCAAAAAAGCCGTCTTCACATCAAAACTGGATATCTTCCAGCCCCATGCCACGCAGCACCTCAATACTGCACGCAACGAGGTTGCACAGATTCCTCCAGCATACGTCTCCCCTTTTCCAAAATGGATCCCTGTCTCAAAGTTGCCACAACACACTGCGCGAGCCTTACGTCGGCCTGTGCGTGCTTTGATGGTGTGAACCAGTTTTGACGGAATGATTTGGAGTTTTCGACCCGTGCCACGCCACTCATCCAAAGTGCTAGGTTCTATTGGCCTGACCGCTTTATGAGCGTAAACTAAGGAAGCGTATTCCTCCCGCCACGAAGGTATCCAGAGTGCAACTTCTCGGACTCCCAGCTTCAGCCTCCGGCCCAGACGCCTCCGGTGCGACGGCTCGAACAAACGCCGATGACGATTGCTCTTGGCCTTGAAAGCTGCAATCAACCTCATGTCCCTCCTCTGTAACATCAGTGGCCTGACGGATGGGGCCAAGCACCTTCAAGGAAGCCTCTGCTGGGTCATGGCTACGGAGAGGGGCGGCGGCCCTTGCGTGAGCAAGTTCCGACTCCAGACCAAGAGGATTCAGAACATCCTCTCTGCTCCCAAGTGAAAGATTTCAAACTGGCTTGCGTGGCATCAAGACCCTGTGGCACGACCTCAGCTCATTCTGCACTCCTTCCTCTGGCAAGGCCTAGGAAACTCTCAACCCCAAACAGAGAATGTTCCCGTTCAGACTGTGCAGCTCGGGATCAACAGAGGACTCGGTCACATCCGACAACTGACATCCATGTTCACGCAGCCAACGAAGCTCGGCGTCGCTTAGGAATGATGTACCTAATGGTGTGTACCCGATGGCGACCAACCTATCACCCTGAAAGTCTTGCGCTTCGTGATAACGACGCGGATCAACTGACCTGAGCACCTGTAAACCTGTCACTCTTCGATCAGAAGTTCCTCCCAGATCATCTGGCCCTTCTATCCACAGTCCTCCGCCGCGGAAAGCAGTGATAGGGACAACGGTGTTCAACGACCCTCGAAAGTTACATACATCTCTATGGCACGCCTAATGACGATTCCGGCACAACGCAATGGCGCTGAACTGCGGCTTTGAGCATTGGTCAAGAAACGACACATGACCTCCGTGAGCGCTGGTCGATGGTACGCCACACATGTCTCCAAAACCATAGCAACCCAGAACTAACGAACAAGTCCCTTCCAGCATCATCTGCTGAGCCAACACGACTCATCTTCGAAGACCGGACCGACTGTGATGAGCGCAGAGCTGTTGCATCAAGGAGATGCAAGACTTGATCCCTCGTCAGAGCCTCCTCCTGCTTCAACAGCCGTTTTGCCTCCGCCTCGCTTTGATTTACAGACCAAACTTGCTGAGCACCTAGGCGCGACTCCCCCGGACCGGACACATCAAAGCTCGCACGTTTCTGATCTTTCGCTTCCACAGACACTGCACCTAAGTCGGAACAACGAAGAATCCCAACCGGAGGGCCTTTGCTAGTACGCCTTCTACGACTTACAGGTCGAGAGCCTTCTGCTTCAGCAAAAGAGGCAGGAGGATGCAGCTCAGGAGCGATTGAAATTTCAACATCCTCCCCCCCCGATCCTTGTGCCTCCCCCGAACCCGGCAATGACATCTCCCCCACTCCTCCTTGGCGCGGAGCAGGCGGAGTGGCAACTGAAGCAGTGCAAGGTCCGCGTACGAATCACTACCTAGGTGTACCAAGGCAAAAGAGCTGGAGATGTAAGTCCAATGCCAGAAAGAGCATGTGCGCAAAGGCGAGCAGCCGCGTGACGCATAGCAAAGGCCCAGCGGTCAAGAGGCCCGTGGGCATGGAGCAGTGTGCGGGCTTGGCGTTTAAGTCGCCGCACTAAGTATTCACAACGACCGTTCTGCCGAAGGTCCAAGGCATTGTCCCCAGCAGTGGTTTTTCCCTCGGTACAGTGTTGATCGCAAAACAGATGCAAGGTACGATCAACAAATTCTTCCCCGCGATCAGAATGTAAGCGAACCACGGGCAAACCTGGCGGCCGCAAAGAACTCACCACGTGCATAACACCCTGAGTGGCAGCAGCGGCGTGCTTGGTAGGCAGTGGAACAAAGAGTAGGGCCTATCGCGCCAGGAATCCTCCCAACGGCGTGTGCTGTCATCAACGGCCTTGGCCTCAGAAGAAGACAAGGGTACAGGAGGATCATGAGGATCCGGACTGGAACCGTCAAAAACAGGAAGATCAGCAGAGACGCCCCCGTCGTCACGACAAGGAGCGGATCAGACCCAAACGACTTGGCATCAGGCTCGAGATCACTAGTCTGGAGAGGAGTACTCCGACTTGTCAGGTGGGACGGCCGGCAGCGGCATGCCGTCGAACCCGACAAAGCACGACTGAGTCCGGGATTCCGAGCCGTCGTGGCCGTACCGTCATCGAATCGAAGCCCGCCGCGTCCTTGGCAAGCCCGTACGCTGGAAGCTTCTAGCCGCCTTGGTGGGGGCCCAGAAGGCCCCGTCCTCCTCGAGCCGCCGCTGAGTCCTTTTGTCGTTTGGAAGGCTCAGGTGGTGGCAGCAGGCGTCACCAAGATGGATAAAGGCGACCCTGCCCACAGCAGGAGATTCAAAGACGGTCATCGGGTCCTCCGGGGACTCCAGCAGGACAAATCCAACTGCTAACGACCGTGACGACCAACCGCAGCAAGGTACAAACGGTGTCCTGATCAACGTAGGCCTGCTCGCGCTGAGACAACCCTGGAAGGCCTCCCCCGTACCCCGCAGTGGACGAGGTCCACCAGAAGCGGCCTCGTGATGCCGAGCAGCTGAGTAGGTTTTACACGGCAGACCACCAATCAAACCAGCGACACGCCCTTGAACGGCAAGACCCAAAAGGAACCCGAAAGTCTCCGGATTATGCAAATCCTCCTCCACATCAACCTCTATCACCGGGCATGGTGCATTCTTGAATTTCCCCTTTGAGGCTCCAGAGAACAGATGAACAAGGACGTGTTCAGATGTAGCCCATCGGCGTCGCATCCGCCGTGGCCACGGACGCCTGGTAAGGAAGCAAACGTGCGGGAACACTAGCAACCTTGCCAAAGAACCACCGTAAAAGATCATCCCCACTATCCCAAACACTGCTGACAGCTTCAGGAAACGACATCGCAATCGGTTGAGCTAGTGCGGCCATACGATGTGAACCAGAACTCTGATCTAAAGGCAACGGAGCATGCGGAGGTTTCCACACCTGGATATGCCCTGGTCTCAAATAGCACATCCTATACTGCAGCTTGACAGAGCCACACTCGGCTCCACCGGTCCACCATCTGAATCACCAACAGCTAGGCATACGCACAGGATAAGCGCCTTCCCACTCAAGCTCGCTACGGGCTTGACGCAAACAAGCTGTGGCACCCCCATCAACCAAGCCTCTGTCCGGAACCTGTTGCAAACTCGCCCGGCGCCAAGCTTTCAAAGACCTGAGTGAGTTCGTGATTGAAGCCGCTGCTTCCTGGAACACCTGAGCCGTTGAAGGACCAAGACCTGGAGCCGGAGGTGCCGCAGGAGATGCTGCCTTGGCAGACTCAGCCTCAGCCTTACGCACCGCAGCCTTGGGACCTGGTTGAGCCTGCGCTTTAGCGTTGGGATTCCCGGAAGTCCCTCCCCCCGGCGATGTGCATTGAGCCTTCGAATGGTTCTGACCTCCACAATTGAAGCAACGTCCTTTCATCCCCTGGGACCTGTCATGAGCATACGGGCAGTTGGATCCCCTGGGACATCCCTGTTCAGATGAAAACTGTCGGCATGCCTCCTTGGCCTCACCAGTGTTCTTGGCTTTATCCTCTCCGTTGCCGGCCTTGTCATCACCCTTCTTGCCCTTGCCTTTCCTTTTTGGAGAACCTGTTTCCCCATCACCCTGTCCACCTTCGCGCTCTTGGGCTAGGCTGGCAACGCGGGCTTTTTTATCAGCTGGTGTGCTGAGTTGAAAAGATTGAACATACCGCGAGGGCTCCTCGGATCGAACCCCAGGTTGCAGCACCTGAGTGGGTGGTGGTGGTGGCTGTGGGGCCGGTACAGGTCCATAGAGCCACATTCCTGAACTGATGACCAATTGGACGGTGGTATCGGCCCGGCTCCTGGCCAAAACCAAACGGGAATAGGAGGAACAGGAACGTCTTGTGTCCTGCTGGAATGCTGATGCCACCTGGCATTGTGCTTCTACCAGCCGGCGGCGTCGCAAGCGGCGTGTACGCTGGAGGCTTGATCTCCGTTCCCCCCTGGGGTACAATCATACCGTATGATCCTAAGTTTGATTGGGTCTTGGGGGTGCTGGGCTCATCGGGAATGCACTGTGGCATGCTTACATCGGACGAGCCCCGTTCACCAGACTCTCCAATACGGAACTGCTCAGTGCTAGTAGGACTAACAAGTGCCTGTGCTGTTTCCTTGAAACAAGGTATCTGAGAGCAAAGAAATTGTACCATCCCTTACTGTATCTAGTGTGAGGCCAATAGTAACAGCAATAATAAAGATAGTCATAATAATGCTAATGAAAAGTACCCATTGTATTTCTACGCAAACAATCATATACGAATACTGTATATCAACAAATTCTGCAATATAACATTCTATCATATAATTTTCAGTTCTAACTTTTTGTTTCATCTTATGTTTCGTTCTTATATCCTATCAGATACTATCCTTAATCATGTTATATTTCATTATGTTGTCGCATCGTTTATGTTTTTTGTGCTGCGTTCTCCTCCGACCCGGCCGGGACGGCGCTCAGAAGTCGTGTTCTGCTGGCTTGCTTAAGGCCTCAGCTTGGGCAGGCGCATTCTCCTACGCCCCTCCTTAGGCGCATTCGGCCCTCCACGCTGCCTGGCCTGGCCTTGCTTTCCCTCCCTCTAGCCGCACGCTGCCTCGCCTGGCCTTGTGCTTTTGTGGCTTTCGCCAATCACTCCAATGCAGGCCCAACCCATCCAAACCGCTCCAAAACCCACTTTCCCCCCACGCCCAAGCTGCCTCACCGCTGCCTCGCCTGTTCTGGTTTTGTGGTAGTGCCACGCTGCCTCGCCTGGTTTTGTGCTTTTGTGGAAAAGCTGAGTCTTTTGATTCCACTCCAGTGCAGGCCCCCAACACCCCCAAACCTTGGCCTGCGGTATTACTCGGGCTCGCCTTGCCAAACCCCCCCAAACCCCTCCAAAACTTACATTCCCCTCCTTGCTTTCCTCCCCACACATTCCCATTTCTGTTTGGTATCCTGGACCCACGGCATCGCGAAGAACTGCTATTGAGTTTGGGGTCTGAATAAATTGGGCAGCGCTCGTCCCCGAGTGCATGCGTCCTGTGGGCTCGAGTCTGGGGCTCGCCGAAGCTTGCTGGCTTTGCTTTAGCAGGTGCGACAGCCTGTGCCACCGACCCTGCTTCATCGCACCTTCGTTTTGCATTGTGTTGCATGGGACCTTGTCCGCAGGCTCACCCGGCAACGCACGCGTTCCAGGAGGGCAGCCAGCGAGCATCATAAGCACTCGGGGCGCCCGCAACGGTTCAGGCAGCGCGAGGCGATGTTTTGCAGTTTGTTGAATGAGTTGCGGAAGCCCCCAAAGGGCCCGCATCATCAGCATCAGCGGGTTTCGGCGGACCCTAAACGGCACGCATCATCAGCATCAGCGGGTTTCGGCGGACCCCAAACGGCACGCATCATCAGCATCAGCGGGGCTTGGCGAGGGGGTGTGCATGGACTTGCTCCATGCTTCTACCTGCGCTGCCCGCCCGTGGGCGCAGCCCCCAGAATATTAGATTTCGTTGCGCTATATTTTCCGAATATTAGAGTTATACTGTACTATAGTGTATCGTATTGCCTTATGTTTTGTTGCACTATATCGTATTGTACTGTATACTTACTATGGTGTAATGTCTAGTATGTCAAAATGTGTTCACAGCATTACGTGTCAACTAATTAAGTATATGTAAATAGTTACGCCGATGAGGATAGAGATCGAGATACAGACAGAATGCTAGACTACATGGAGATGGACACTGCCCACAAGCTTGGCTGGCAAGCTCAGACTCAGGGCTTGCGTCAGCCGCCCACAGTGCCCGGCCTTCTCTTTCTCGGAAGCGGGCTGCTCTTGATTCAGGGTGTCCTCAGACAGAACGCAGGCGCGTGCATCGCCACCGGCCGAAGTCGTTCTTTCCCTCCTGCAACCTCTCCACAAGGTTGCCGAAAAGGGTACGCTCCTGAAGAAGCTCGGACTGGAGCCAGAACTCACATCTGCGGGCATCTTGAGCTCCGCTGAACCGCTCTGCCTCCTGCCCGTTCTCCGTCTCATGCATAAACGTCTCGGGGAAGATCCTCTTGATCCTGCAGCACAACTCATCCACGTCCATTTTGGCCAAGCTGTCACTGCAGTCAAAGAGAAAGTTGGGTCCTGGGGACGCCTGCTTCCAAGGTCAAGAGATCTTTGTGGATCTTCCGAAGATTCTCGTTCGCGCCGCCTGCCTGAAAAGACGGCAGAGCGGACCATCGGCGCCTTGGCCGTCCCCGAGAAGGCGCCTTCACCGTTCGGCAAAGCTGGGCCCAGAGGCCCAGCATGGGCACCACCAGACCTTTCTCAACGTGTGGACTGGTGCACTCAGAGGGGCACGCCGCAACTGAGCCCCGTGCGCTCCTGGTCGCACATGTCCATTCCCTCGTGCTTGCGCCTGCGGACACGCGCGCGCTTGCGCTTGCGCCTCCCCGCTATACGAGTACCATCATTTCAGAAGACGTGACGCGACCGATGTCGCAGATCGCTCCTGCAGCAGGTGAGCTGGCTGTCCTCCCCGAAGACCTGGATCGACTTCTGCAGCCAGACCTCTCCAAGCAGAGGCGGGCGGGTACTCAAGTGCGTAGAGCGAGGGCTAGTGCTTCGGTGCCTCGTCGAGGGGGGTCAGCCTCAGAGCTCCGCGAGTCGTGAGCGAAGCGTTTGCACCCCCGTACTTCCGCACTTCCCCCTGCTTGAACAAAACCAAAACCACTCACTTTTCGTGTCTCTCTCTCTCTCTCTCTGTCTTTCTTTGTTCTTCATCACTCTCTCCTGCGCTCGCGCGCTCTCTTCCAGCTGCTGAGTCCGTGGAATCGCGACACGCGCTCGTCGCCCGCGCCCCCGCGCGCCCGCGCGACGCAGACCCGGAAGACCCAGGCCAGCTCAAAGCGTTCCTTCTGTGCTCTCTCTCCCTCTTCCCTCTTTAAAGCCTCAAGACAGGGAGAGCGGAGAGCTTTCAGCTTCACAGGGTCGCCAGCTCCCCTTGTAGGCGAAGACGCGTTCGCTTCAGTGCTTCCAGGGCCCTCTTCGGTCTTAGGTCTTAGGCCGCTCAGGGGATCCCCCTCTCCGACTCCAAGCGCGCGGCTGGCCGCTCTCTGCCAGGAACATGTTGTCACCAGCCTGGGCCTCGGCAAGAAGACGCCCACAAAAACAGAAGAGAGAAGAAGGAGAGAGGAAGCCGAGGCAGAAAGAGAGAAAGACAGAAAGAGGCGCAGAGGCGCAGAGCACGGGCCCGCCCCGAGCGCGGCTTTTCGCTCCGAGGGGCCAAAAGGTGCGAGAGCTGCTCGGCCCTGCGACTGGCAGCGCTCTCTTTCCGCTCTTAGACTCTCTGCTCTCTCTCGGCTCGCCGGTTTCCCTGCTGCGGGCGGGGACACGGCGCCTGCACCAGGCACGGCACTGGTAGGTGTCCTTGTTGCACTCATCCTCCAGATCCTGCCGGCGACCACGTCCGCGTGTCCCCGCGTCCGCGTCCCTGCGCCGGCCTTGTGCTTCACGGGAGGCGCCACGACCACGAAAGCGGAGACCTCCATCACAGCACGGCTCACTCGGATCCGTCTCCGTCTCTGCGAGCCTTGGCGGCGTAGACCGTCAGAGAGTTGATCGCAGCTGTCTGCGACGGACGGTGCCTCTCTCGGAGCGGGCGAGGCGGCGAGGCGGCGAGGCGGCGCTTTTTCTCGCGCTTTCCCTCCCTTCTCTTTACAGCGCCTCTGCGGAATGGAGCTGTAATCGAGCCACACGTAGGTCGTGCTTTCCTGCAGAGGGAAAGCAAAAGCACAGCAAGTGCACCAACGTTAAAGCTTGGAAGAGTGAGTCGGGTTGTGTTGCCTGCCACTTCCACTTCTTCATCACCTCCTCCACGGCCATGACCATCTGCTCATATTGCTTGCCTGCAAGACAGTTTTGGGGCAGAAGAAGAAAGAAACTCGCCCTTTAGCTCGCCCTTTTCACCTGTATGATCAGGTTCTGCGAAGGCCGTCCACTGGTGGGACATGAAGATCACCTTCGACACACGTGTCGATTCGAGGGGCCAGAAGGCTGAAAGGACACTGCTCGCTTCTGCCTTGTTCAGTGCCTTCTGCAGGAAGTCGTCGATCTCCTCTGGACATCTCGTCGTGCGCTCTAGGGGGGCGCGGGCGCAGGGACCTGGCCTGGATGGTGTGGAGCCAGGTGGAGCGCTGCAGAGTGTTCTCGAAGGCCACGAACTTCCCGAGCTCCTTGAAGATGGGCACCTGCGTGCGGAAGGGAAGGAGAAGAGAAGAGGCCCTTTTCTGGGGATGGAGATGGAGAGAAGAGACGGCGAGGCATGGCCTGGAGCAGGACCATGGGGAAGGAGACCTCCTGGGTGGCGGAGAGCGCTTTCTCGATGGTGCTGCGCTCCTGTTTTGCAAGGGCAACAGGGCCAAGGCAAGGCCAAACAAACAGGCCAACACGCTGCCTTATATAGAGGGAGGCAGAACGGCAGTGCCATCTTCTTCTTTTGAGCCTCTGCTCTCCTTGGCCAGCTTCCCGTAGTAGGAGTTCAGCAGGGAAGAGACCACCTCGGCTCGGAGAAGACAACTTTGAAAGAGAGACGCCAACAAAGAAACCTTGACGAAGGAGGGGGAGCGGGGGGCCGGGAGGAGGGAGGAGGGAGGGAGGAGGCGTGACGAGGAGCCATGGAGTAGCCCGCTGGCGCTGGCGCTTTTCTGGCCGCACTTGGGCCCAAGCTCGGTAGAGAACCATGGCCAGGGCCAGCATCAGCGCCGCGGACCTGGCGGAGATGAACCCCGCACCACCGTCTACCAGAGTCTACCACCCGTATCTCTTGTAGCTAAGCTGGGCGGCAGAGGGATGCCGTTGCGGATGATCGCCTCCTTCAAAAACCCCCTCGGCTTCGGCCGAGTCAAGGAGAACCTCCGGCGGCTTGGCGCGAGAGCGGCGCGAGCGAGAGAGAGAGCGGAGGAGAGAGAGAGAGAGAGAGAGAGAGAGCGAGAGACCGCTGACCGAGGCTGACCGCATGGACCGCACGACCGCAGGAACGAATCTCTTCAGTCAGAGCACACTTCACACTTCGGAGAGCAGTCGGGCGGTCGTGTGCGGTCGTGTGCGCATGCGCAGCTGCTGCCGGCTGCCTGGTCCAGGAGCTCTTTCGGAAGCAGGCGCCCCGGTCATCCGAAGTGTCCGGGTGAACCTTCGAAGTCCGAGGAGAGATTCACGGCTCACGGCGACACGGCAAAGCGAGAGCGCCCCACGATGATCCAGCCGCTGGAGGTGCCATAGCCAAAAGTGTCCAGATCGAAGTTCCTTGAACAAAAAAAGGACAAAAACCCGCAAACTCACCCCAGCAGCTGATTGATTGCGTCTGCTCGCGTCTGCTTGCGTCTCGCCGTTTCAGCTCGGCGTCAGGAGCAGCTTCGCGGTTTCATTGGGGGCCAACGTACCATTGGAGGGCGACACCGTCATGCAGCTGCTGTTGTCCCCCTGAAAAGGCGCAAACACAACAAATCGGGACAACTTTCCTCCCTCCTGTATCCTGTCGACCCTCCCACGACATCTGCCCGCTTTCGCGCCTTCCCTGCACTGACCGTGACTTGGAAAGGAAGCGCCACGCGACCTGAACAGGGAGCACGGCAAAAGGATGGCCACATGCTACAGCAGCTACTACAACGGAATCGAGGCTCTGCTTTGAACGGCTGCGACTCCACTCACAGCGTATTTCTGCAGCTGTGGCAGGCGTGGGAAACGTGTAATCAGTGTCAGCCTCACCTGTGAACGTTGCATACTTAGAGCTTGGAGTGTGGAGACTGTGGGCATTGTCGGGCCGGCGAGGATGAGAAGCCGATCTCACTCTTTCTCAGCTCCGAACCCGTGTTGTGGAGGGTGATCGTGTCCTTGCCGTCCTTGCCGTCATCATTCTTGCCCTGAGAAGAAAGCCAAGGAACGTCGTAGCTCTTCATTTTTGCGGCCGTGTGGCTACATTGTCCTTGGTGATATTCTCCTTGTCCACGGTGAATGTGGCCGCCGTCTGCAGCTCCTTTGCAGACCAAGGCTTGCAGTAGTTGCAAGTAGTAGTAGTAGTAGTAGTAGTAGTAGTAGTTGTTGTTGTTGTTGTTGTCGTAGTAGCAGCAGCAGCAGCAGCAGTAATAGTGGCTTGGATGCACTCCAGTTGTTCTGGAGCAGACAGACACAGTTATGAAACGGCCGGTTGCTAAAGTTCTCCCAGATTTTCTCGCAGAAGTAGTGGTAATAGCAGCTGTACTCACCGCTCACAGTATTACGGATGATCACGCAGGCTTAATGAACACCAACGATGACACCGGAAGCCAGATGAGTCCGGAATGGCCACATGGCGGCAACCACATGCCAGTCCTCCAGCGGCGCGAGCAGGAAAATTGCCCACCTGGGCTGTGGCATTCGGCAACGGACGTTAGGCGGGAGTTGCAGCTGCAAGCCAGCGACTCTGGATTGGCCATCAGCCGGCAGAAGACCTGAGAACGGGAGATGGCGAAAGCTCGAGACTGCGCAGGTCAGGATGTCACGATTTGGCAGTCTGAAGATGCGACGGCCAGGTGGTTACCCTTCGGAACGTCAAGGGTCCGAGTCCTGTTGCTAGTGCTCGCGTAAAGCACACGATGGCCGCAGTGGCACGGCTGGCCCTGGCCTCACCCCCATGGAACAGAGGTGCTCGCTTTTCATCGAGGCGTTGAAGACCGTCGCGAGAATGCTCTCAAAGTCGATGCCGCTGAACCTGTCGTTCAAACACAACGCGCTTTCCCCGCCGAGCGCCCGAGCGCGGAGCTCGGGGCACCTCGGGTCCGTTGCGTTCTTGAGGGAGAGTGGCGAGGGCGGTGCCCACCTGCAAGGGGACGGGCGGGGGCGGCGCCCACTCTGCGAGCAAGGGAGCTCTTGGATTTTTCTCGGGAGGCGGCCAGCAGTCCGTCCTTATATTTTTCAACAGGAGAGAGAGAGAGAGAGAGAGAGAGAGAGAGAGCAGCTGGCATGCTGCCAGGGCACCGTCGCTCTGCGCTGCAGGCGGGCTGTCCGGACGGGTTCCTGGGCTGTAGACGCTTGGGCGCAGAGAGCAGCACGGGGGCGCGACTGCGTGCGGCGAGGTACCGGAGTTCTTCTTCGCTGAAGCCGTCTCTGAAAACGACGTCTCGTGCCCGTTGGCTCATTGCGACCACCTGCTTTGAAATTCCAGAATGGAGAGTTCTTTCCTTCTGAAGAGGCTGAGGGAGCCTGGCCGCCAGAATCTGCAACGATGGAGTAGAAATTGGGACTAAGCCGAAGCTTGCTCAGGACCTTGAAGAGTTTGCGCCGGAGGCTGCACTCGAAGCGGCTGCTCGGGCGCTGGCTTCGCCGGCGTAGGTCATGTTAACGGTCATGGTGACCGTACCCATGGGGACCTCAAGATGCCAAAACACGAAAGGCAGGGGAAACGAAAGGGGGAAGAGAGGCAGCAGAGGCAGCAGAGACCGCAAAGAGAGGCAGAAAGCGCTTGCGGCTCCGAGGCCTGGGCCGCCTTCGCCGAGTCCGTCCTGAAGGCCGCGGCGGAGACCTGCGCCGAACCGCACCGAACCGAACCGAACCGAACCGAGGACAGCACGGAACGAGGGCGCGCAAGAGGGCACCCGACAGCAGACCGAGCACGAGCTGCACGAGCTGCACGAGCTGCGGAAAGCGCAAGCAGCGCGAAAGCGTGCGTGCGCCGCGTCGCCGCCTCGCTGATGAGATCGCCAGTGACTCGGCTCTTGGCGGCGGGCATCCAGTGCAACCTAGGTCCAAAGAAACCGCACGGGACGGGCGGACGGGGCCGCTCTGAGTGTGCGCAGAGGTTCGGTCTTCGGTCTGCAGCTGGGTCATGCTGGGTCCCCAGCGGGGCAGGCTCGCTTCCGGGCAGCGTCCCGTTGAAGACGCTGCTTCGGATGGTGGGGTCAAGGAGATTCGAGTGCGGCCGGTCGATGCAAGCCCAGGTCCGCGGGGCGGTAGCTTCTTTAGAGCCACTGGTCCAGAGGTGCATGACAATTTTCGGGTCGTAGCCGAAGTATTGCAGCCGTGTGTGGAAGCCAGGTGTAAAGATCACCTTCTCGCTGTTCGAGAAGTCGTCCACGCCACCTCCCAGCATGGCAAAGCTGAGGCCCTCTTTGACTGCAGTGCTCCTAGCTCCGCTGCTTCCTTCATCCAGCGAATCCAGCGGCATCATCAGAATCCTCTTGCCGTTGTAGCTGGTGAAGCGGATGCCAGAGCAGCTTCCACCCTCGGCCTCACCCGGTTTGCAGTCCTCTTTCTTGCAGGTCTCCATCTCTTGCAGCTTCTTCGGCTCCTCCCGCTTGCTGGCCAGCTCAGCAGCATCGGCCCGTTGGAAAAGCTTGGCGAAGATTCGGAGCAGGTTGTTCGTTCGCAAGAACTCGCAGTCCATGGAACTTGCCACGGTAGAAGCCATGGTCACAAAGACACTCACTGAGCAGGCCTCTTTCTTCAAAGAAGTCATCGCCTGGCAGCACAAGCAGCAAACAGAAGAGAACAAAGGAAGCTGAAGCATAAGTTGCATAAGCCTTCTGTTCTCCGCCTAAGCCAGATTATTTCTTGCTCACAGCTGCAGACCCTGCCTCGGCACAGCCATGATCCCGGGAAAGCAAAATCTCGTCCGGACTTGCCAAGGAGCTTCCCCGGTCCGACACGGAGCCTTCGGATCCCTCCGTGCCAAGCACACCTTGCAGCTCCTTCTCGCTGCTCTTCCCCTTCTGGGCCGGCCCCTGCCCCTGCGCTGGCCGCGCGGCAAGGGACAGGCGCCCCAGAAGGGACAGAGAAATGAAGAGGAGAAGCATCGGCATGCGCATGCGGATCATCCACGGAGGTGCCATGGCCATGGTCACATCATCGTCTGAGAGAGGAAGTTCTCACACAACGAAGGAGTCTTGTGTCGAACTCCTCTCTGGGAGCTCGAGCTCGAGCCAGAGGTCATCGGTCACGGCCTTGCTCAAGGCTTACGGCTCGAGCATGCTATGCTCGAGCAACTCTCAGCTTGACCTCCAAGCTTTAGTCTGCAGACTCGCTCTGCGCAAAGCTCTGGCTGGGGGCAGCTAGAGAGGTGGCTACTGTCTAAGCGGCGCGTTGCGAACAGAGGCTCGCAAACCTCGCGGCGGTTGGGCTCTTGGAAAATTCGTGAGGAAGGTGCCGTTCCGGCTCGAGCCGGCACCTTCAGAGCCGGGGGCCACAGCGAGAGAGAGAGAGAGAGAGGTAGAGAGAGGGTGATGAGGTGCTAAGTCAAGCATGGGCGCCCGGGCTGCGTCCCGCGAGATGCTCTAGAAGACGTTACTCTTGTTGTGTGTAGTTTCCATGCTCTTCTAACTGGATCCATTGTCATCCATACTTCTGATCTGAACAGTACCAGGGGAGCCGCTACTATTCGTGGCACCGAATTAGTTCACGAAAATCGGATGTGAAACCTGGAAACCTGCCCAGCAGCAGAATGCAGCAAATGCTACAGTATCTCCAGCACGGCCGAAGGCTTCCCTGCCTGCCACGGAGAGTTGGGACGTATGCTCAAGGATCGTGGATTGCAGGCACCTCAGCCTTGTGTCTGTCGAAGAGTTCCCTCAAGGCTTCCACATACTTCTGGTGCCACTCGTCCACCTGCGAGAGCGGGGGGAAAACCGGGGGGTCTCTGCTCCTCTCTTCTCTTCTCTTCTCCGCCTGCCTGCTCGGTCGTGGGCTCCGGCAGCTTCGGAAGCTCCAAGGCCGGGCCCACGAAGGTCAGCAGCTGCGACAGAGAGCGAAGGTGAGAAAGGCACAGAGAGAAAGCACAGAGAGTGAGTGAAAGAGAGAGAGAGAGAGAGAGAGCGAGCGAGCTGCCCCAGCTGGCTGGGCGGGGGGCCTTTAAGTGCCGGCGCGGAAGCAAGGGGCACCACCTCGGGGCGCTTTCTTCAAAAATCCTCTATGCAAACGCGAAGCTGACGACGCAGAAAATTCAAGACCGGGACGGCAAGCCCCAGAAGCAAACGGTGGGAATCCCTTTGCCGTTCAGCCTCGCTTGTGAAGCTGGGAAAGCGGGGGGGCCCTGCGAGCTGCTAAGAGAGAGAGAGAGAGAGAGACCTCCGGCCGGTGCCGGTTCCACCACAACACATGGCTCTGACTCGCTCTCTCTTCTCTTCTCTTCTCTTCTCTTCTCTTCTCTTCTCTTCTCTTCTCTTCTCTTCTCTTCTCTTCTCCTCTCTCTTCTCTCTCTCTTCTCTCGCTTTCGCTCCCTTTGGGGCGCCGACCAAAGCCGGAGCTTCTCGAAGCCACCCAGCGTGAAGTACCTCGCGGCAGGCTCAGGCACTGGCAGGCTCCTCCCTCGTTTGTTTCCCTTCTCAACTACCGCACGTCTCGCTCTCTCCGAAGGTATACCTCAGGCTGCACAGGCAAAGGCTCAAAACAAACCTCCCCACCCCCCTGACATGTCTGAGGCTAGGACACCGGATGTAATCTGTAGCCGTAGCGGAGGCAGTACCTCCAACAGCCAACAAGACATTCGAGGATGCGGAAGCCAATTGCATCAAAGAACCAAGCGGCGCATGCACACAGCAAGAAATCCGAAACCCAAGGCAAGGGTCAACAACATCCAACATTCCCCAACTCTGACTATGGGAGATGTATTTGCTCATTTGGCTTGGGAGTGCCAGCAGGGTTTCTGCATCCTTGCGGGCCGACGATCCATGGTAACTTCTAATGCACGGGCCGAGGGCTGGCCCAGAAATGACAACCCTACTGGCAGATGCGGCGCTTCCGCATTCTGCAAGCAGGATTCATTTGTGAAGTCCAGTGGGCCGCAGGCTGGTCTCGAAATGAAACCAATTTCTCGGCGGACGTGGGGAGGCCTGGTCCTGTGCGCGCGGGCGTTGCCTGCGTCTCGAAATATAGGAGTACTGTGTACAGGCGCTTAGGGTTTAGGGCTCGCAGAAGCAAAGTGTTTATGGAGTGTACGCATGGATGGATGGTGGGATGGGCTTGTATGGATGAGATAGATGATGTGACTCGCTGCTGACAGCTCTTTCGGGACACCCGGCTCTTGCCTTCTGACTGCAAAATAGCAGCAGGTCCTCTTCACTTCAAGTTAGTCACTATGAAACACGAACTCTTTGCTTGTTAAATGTTTCGTTTTGCAGAAAGAATTTACTACTTATTTCTTATGGTCTGAAGAGGGAAGCAGGTCGGAAGAAACTCGACATACTAACAACTGCGATCTAATGTGTCTGGGATGTCGTGGAGTTACCTTCATGTCGGAAACATAGTAATGTTTAGACATGCTGCTGCATGTCTTGCGGGGATAGGAGGGACGTACCGGATTTGTTTGCAGCAAACTTAAAAGACTCTCTTTCCTGGTTCTGGCCACGGCAGAGTATACATACATAGAGAAAGAGAGACGGAAAGGGAGACTGAAAGAGAGGGAAAAAGAGAGCTGTGGACACATGCAGTGTTGAGAGCCAAACGAAGCCAACAAAAATACCAAGAACACAAACACAAAAACAAAAGAAACACAACAACAGTTCGATGAGTGACCAAACACAGTTGGTTTGTTGTTCTGCTACCCGTTTTTGCTTGTTTGGCTTGTTGTTCGTTCTTCTTCTGATTGGTTTGATTATTTTCGTTGTGTTAGTTATTTTACTCTTATGTTCTTTTGGTGTGTTTGTCTTTCGGTTCTGTTGAGGTCTAAACTGCAGCGAAAACTCAAGGTTTTGCGGGAGTGTACATCTTAGATGACGTATTGCGTAAACAATGCAAAAGCCCCTCCTTTGATTATTTATTGCTTGTAAACTATAGATGGTCACGCCCTCGCCCCTGATCCACACCCGTTTAGTCAAGCTGATCTTCGATATATATGTCTGTATATTTATACCATGTAAAGAGAAGGAGGGACACGCCTGTTCTTTGCGGAAAATGGGTCTACATGTGGCTATGTTCACTCATATTCGCGCCCGTGTGTATAGTTACTATGTGTTAATGCCGGTCAAGGAAGTGTATACATGTGCAAGATTCCAAACGGTTTGCAGACATGCAAAAACGAACAGCTGACATACGGAGATATCTTCTGCTACAGATCCGTTCCGTGACATGACATTACCATAAATTCAGTTTTACAAAAGTGGGGAATGCTCACTGCCAGATTCTAAATATGGGTTCCTACTCACCAGCTACGCTGCTTGCGCGCGAAGCACTCAAAAGGTCGTTTGCCCTTCGGGCTCAGGGGGTGGGCGGGCGGGAAGCGAAGTCGCTCTGTACACTATACAGCCCTACCTTGAGCCTACACTACGGCGTACAGCACAGCAGGAACTACAGAACCTAACGCACGCAAGCTGTACGTACAAGTTCCTACTCACCAGCTACGCTGCACACGCTCACTCCTTTTTGCGCGCGAAGCACTCAAAAGGTCGTTTGCCCTTGGGGCTCGCACCCCTCCCACAGAAAGTGGCCGGGCGCGAAACGCGCCGCGGCCGGGGTGGAGCGACCGGGGCAGACCCTAGAGGCTGTCGCCGGGCGCGAAACGCGCCGCGGCTTTCAGCGCGGAGTGAGGTCCGTAAGGGCCATTCGCTTGGCGACGTCTCTAGATGTAGCCCGGGCGTCCCATATGTACGTCTGGAACGACTCGGACGTCCAACGCCCCCAGCGCTTGACAAGAGCAGCGTCGCCGAACGCTGCCCAAAGGGAAGAAGCTCCGCCGAAGCGTAAGCTATGGGTTCCCAGAGCTCCTTCTGGCCACCCTAGAGCTTCCGCTGCTTTCGAGGGTCCGTGGAAGGGGTCTCCCCTCCTGGTCCCGGAAGAGAAGCTTGAAGAGCTGGATTACTGGACAGAGAAGGAGACCTGTCTTGAAGTGGTTCCGGTACTCCCCTCGATTGTAAATGTCCGTTTTGGACCCTGATGAACACGGTGAGCTCATCAGCCTCTTCAAAGTCCCTAAAGGAGCAGGGCTTCCCTCCTTTGGAAAGCTTCAGGTCCTTGCCTCTCAGCCCTCTTAGTGGGGAGTGGTAGGCTGTGTCCAAGTACTCGGAGGGTTGCAGGAGAAAGAAAAAGGCCAGGAGGAGGGCTCCCCATTGCAGAACGGCCTCGGCGTGGCCAAGCGCTCCCGCGTGGAGGTGCGAGTGAAGCCACCGAAGCATCTCAGGCGTCACGGGTCGGCGCCGCTCCTTTGTGCCGATTTTTTATTCAAGGCCGCGACCACCAGGGCGACCCTTGAAAGCTGGGAGAAAGGGTCCGGGGAGCCCACTGGTGATGTGGAACGCCCGGACTTTCACGGTGCCCGGGGCTTTGTCCGAGTTGACTCCGCAGTGCACCACGTATTGCACAAAGAGGTCTTCTTCGGGTGCGGAGTAGGTCTCGACCCTTCTCCAGCACGAAACGCCCCGCCGGGCGCAGAAGAGCTCCCACCACCTCCACTGCCACCTTGAAGGTGCGCCGCTCGGATCTCTTTGCTGTCGTGGTGGAGCTGGCGGGCCTTGCTTGGGCCCCCTGCGAAGGGCACCGTGACCGGGGGCTTGTGCCCTGGTCCTGGCTCCTTTACGGGTACTCAAATCGTACTGAAGCTCCCGCCCTCCTGAAGCCTTCGGGCTCGGGCGAGAAGCTCGCCACGCCCGAGGAAAGCGAGCTCAAGCGGGAAGACTTGGGCGTATGGGTGGCGCACCCTGCACCGTCCTCGGAGCCGTCCCAACGAGGAGGGCCAGCTTGTTCGCAGCGTGCTCCTGCAAAGTTGTCCAAGCGAGTAGTGCTTCCGCCCCCAAAATGAGGAGCTGGCTTTCGCCTTAGCCTTTCGCTCCTGTCTCCTCCTCTTCTTCCGGGCCTGTGACTCGGGCTGGCGTCGTAGGGACTGTGCTCCCCCTCCTGCTGCAGGAGGGTCTGTCGAGGCTTCTGCCCCTAGTGCTGCGAAAGCCCGCGCGTACCGCCCCAGGTTGGGGTAGAGTTCCACGACTCTGAGAGTGAGGAGCTTTGAAGGGGGCTTAGGCATGGCGGAAGCAAGTGGTGTTCCCGCGCAAAGAAAGGACCGACAGGCAGCGCACAGTTGCGCCCTACGTCGCGTTGGGCCCCCCGCACGAAGGCTCGTTTGAGCCAACCACCGTTTAGGAGCCTAAGTAAAAACCCCTCGATCCCTCCTAAATCCCTCAGCCCTTTAGACCTCATGACCTGAGTGGGTTCCTCCCTAGTTAAGGCGTCCGCGGTGAGGTTGTGGATGGTTGTGGATGGTTGTGGTAGGTCCTTTAATGTAGGCGAAATAATACACCCTAAAGTTGTAAACGCTCTGAAGGACGGTGAGGAGCTGCAGGAGGAACGAGGGGACTTCACGGTAAGTGTGTCTTTTTTCGAGCCACGCTCCTACAGTTTGGTTGTCGCCAGCATATAAGCTACCAGCTACCAAACGGCCTTTCCATTCAGGGCCTCGCGCAGCGGCTAAAGCAACCACCGCCAAAAGCTCGGTGACCGAGACAACAAAGTCTTCGTCGGGGCTGGGCTTGAAAGCGAGCTCTTCCGCCCCTTCGCGAGCCTCGGCCGAAGTAAGGAGGGCTTGTTGGGCAAAGTCCAGAAGAGGTCTGCGAAAGACATCGACCGACAGCGAGAAGGCCTGACCCGAGGACCAGTCTACAGTAGCAATCCTGTCAAGGGTAGCATCTCCGGAGGCCCACACCATTGTCCGTCGGAACTTCGGCATGGCGAGAAGTTCTTGCAGGCTCATGGCCGACACCATAGGGTGGGTGAAAGTGGTGGACCATTCCTCCTCGACTGCCTCCCAGAATCTGATGCAGGACCTTTCGCGAGCGACCGGAGTTAGAGCCTCGGGGGACGACTTTGCCCGCTTCGTTGGGCGTGCCGAGGAGCGCGTTAGTGGCCCCCAAGAGCCCCGAGAGGACAGGCATGGCTGAGAGCCAAAATTGTTGATTTCCTCGGAGTTCTTGCGCAAGGGAGAGGTCCACGGTGGGGCGTCCGTAGCTGAAGTCCTCTAAGTTGAGGAGGTGCGCTGCCTTTAGAAGCTTCGGCTCAGGCAGGCTGCGCGTGAGGAGGTCGGAGTCGTAAAAAAGCCCCCAAATTATCTTGGACGACTCAAAGCGTCTTCCTCCCAGTCCTTTTCCTCATGGACGGCTTTCTCTCCGAGCGCCGTCCGGGTAAGAGTCTCAAGGGTTTCTGCTGCTATGGCCGGCCTCAAACCGACGTGCGGCTCTACCAACACCAAATCATCCATCAGGCGGTGCGAGCGACTTAAAAGCTGTCTTTCAAGCGAAGGTCATGTAGTGCCCCGGCGCTCCCCGCCATCCGAAAGTGAGGACCCCGTAGATGGCAGTGATATCCCGGTCTACGCCAAACTCTCCTGCGAGGAGGTCAGCAGGGAAAAAGCGAACGTCGCCCGGTATCTTTCTTTGCGAGGCGGACCGGGATCCCGGCAAATCTCGTGGCCCACCAGAGGATGAGCGGAGCGCAGGTGGGTGCTCTTGGCGGGCGTCCTACACAAGACGCCCTTTTGTGCTGAGCGTGCGTCAGCAGAACCCTTCCCTCGGGAGGCATCCGTCCAGATCTGGACATACCCCTTCAAGCTAAGGGTGAGGAAGGGTTTGCACCCTTTCCTGACCAACCCCGCTAACACAAGCCTCCACACCGTGTGTAGCCTCCCTTGCCTCCGTCAGGGTTGGGGACCAGGCCCTCCAGAGCAGGCCGCTGAAGGGTCCTGCCGCCGCTTGAAGGGCAGCGGTGTGCAGAGCAAAGGCACCTTTAGGTTCCCCGGTCGGGTCCGTCCCAGAGGCCTCGTACGACGGACGAGATGAGCTCTCACAAACGTGGCAGCCAACCAGAGAAGCCTGTTCAGTCACTGCGTCCAGGGCCCGGGCGCGATCACGCGCCTCAGGCCGCTGGGGCGCTCGCGCAACCACAAAGGCATCAACCTCCCTGACTGCTGGGGCGGACTGGTCAGCGAACCAAGTGAAGTCCGGTCCGCCTTCCCCCACGATTCGGCTTCAGCGTCCGTGGGCGCGAAAGAGGTGAACTCCTCTGGCGGTCTTGGCTTCAGCGCTGGCCGTAGGGGCCGGAGAGGGAGTGTCCGTAGTCTCGTTGCCCCTCCTCGGCATGCTCCTGCTGTTTCCGAGCCGCAATGGCCGTGTCCGCAGACTTGGTCTTGGGTTTGGTCTTCAGCCCTCCTCGGTTCGTTCCCAACTGACAGCTCCGGTGGGATCCTTCCTTGGCTTTCGGCTTTCGGGCGGTGGTCCAACGCGCACAAGGCTCTTTTGGTAGTGAGGGCTCCTGACTTGACAGCTTCGCCCGCCCGCATGGCGTCCGAGGTGTTAGGTTGGTCATTGCCGGGGTCGCCTCCGGCCCGGCCTCCACCCAAGTGCCAGGTAGCTCCTAGGCCTTGGGCTCTGTTGCAAGCAGGTCCGAGTAAGAGCCCTCTGGTGCCTCGAGACAATGTCCGACGAGAAAAACTCCTTGGCGTCTTCCAGGTCGAACGTGCGGGGGAGTCGGAGCCAGGGGCTACCTTGATCATCAGGTGAGTCCTCTCCCATAAGTCTCCTCATCTCCCTGTCCAACTGTCGTAACTCTTCGACTCCACAGTTCCTCCCAAGTCCTCACGGGAGTGGCCAAGCGTACGTGGCCTCCTCTCCTAGGTGTAAGAGCTTGGTGGCTGCTGCCTCGAAGAGCGCGTAGTGCTCCGTACCGTACACGCAGGCCACGGCCCAAGACATCCGGAGGGCGGCCCAGAGACGTCGGGTGCCGAGGGCGTTTCTCCAGGCGACTGTCGGGGGGGGGGGGGGGGGGGGG